ATAAGTAACAGTGGGTGAGACCAGCTATGATGGGAGGGTTTTCTCTCGAGGGGTTGTGGGCGAGTGGGCGTGTGTTTGTGGGTGGTTATAAATGGTTTTGCAGAGCATTTATTATCATAGAGCATCTGTAGAGCTCTTGACTCTCAGTATAACAAGGCCAACCCTCTCAAACAAGTTAGAAACCTGTGGCACAGAAGTGATAAGTCAGCTCAGAGGAAAAGGAGTAGCTAGGGATTACAAGAAAGGAAAGATGTCTGCATATGGAGAAGGTAAAAGCCAACAACTCTCTCTACAATCATTTCTCTCATACTGGGTTACAGCAACAAATCTAAAAAGTCAAGATGCAGAGAAGAAGGGAACTCAAAAGCAGGGAAATACAGACAAGGCTGAAGATGTTAACAAAATATGTTCAAAAAAACAATGATATGTGAAATGCTAGTCTTTTACTTTCCTGTCAGACAGTCTACGCTAGGGAACAACTGCATGGAATGAGCAGAGAGGCAACTTTCTGCAGTTGTGTGCAGGCTGCTCGTCTGGCTGCTCGGCACCTCTTCCCCCAAGCATTAGTCTGACTTCTTCGGCACTGTCACAGCCAGAAGGGAGAACTACGGGATCAAAGCAACGGAGTTTCTCCTGGAAATACTGCAGAAAGAAACCCACATACTGTGCTTAGCACGTGCCACACCCTTAAAGTCTGTCCTGTAAACCATAACAATCGATGTAAATGATTTGCATTAATCTGAGACGACAGAGAATCACTCACCTATGTCTCCCAAATGAGTGGTCCGACTACGGAAACCCCACACTCACCTTCCAATGTCTCACAGCATTTCAAAGTGCAATTTGATGGCAAGCTCAATTGCTTCCTTCAGTTCAGATCTGTCTTGTCACAGACACAGTAGCATCATCCCATTTGTTCCTTGTTGAAATCATGAAACGCGGATATTTATGCTTTAATATTTTCTGAAAAACTGACATTTTACCAGTCATAAATTAGAAAGACAGTTATGCTTTTGCAAACTCAGAATAACTACACCCAGCAAAACTGGCTGTATTCCCCAAACACGCAGATCAAGATTAACTATTGAAATGCCAGGCATAAGTTATTCATTAACTAAAACCATTCTGTAATTTTATTGATATATTTTGTGGAGTTCACATATTTTTGTACAGCAAACATAACACTGTAGGCCACAAGAAGCTGCAGCACTATTGTTTAATAGCAGCAAGGTATATTTTATAATCAGGGTATGTGGACAATAAATAGTCTGTTTCTTTGGATGTGAATGTTTAAAATGAAGTTCTGCTGCAGCTTCATAATGTGATTGCTATTTTACAGAGCTTATACACAAAAATATATATGCAATCTTTTTGTCTATATTTTATACAAATACAACAGTAGTTTGTGAATACATTTTAAAGTACATATACATGATAAGCAACTCAATTTCCCATATCACAGGATAGCAAATTTTAAATGCAAGAAACATATACAAATTCAGTCTGGAATGCAGGGTTTTCTGTGTTCTTTTTTTTTTTTTTTCTCTGTTTTTTGACTCAAAACTTTTATCATTAAAAACATTTTAGCATACAAGTCCAAACAATTTTTCCACTAGCTAAAAATATAATTTCAGCAATTCGACTCAGGTTAGGGTGTGTCATCATCCCCCAATATACTTTTCCCAGTTTTTGTCTAAATCCAAAGGCTTTTAATAACATATAGTATGTTCTTCACTCCACACCATATAAAAAGCCTGCATTTAACATTAACTAGCAGTCACCTATTTTTGTGAACAAGAGCTGGGCTTGTCAGCGTTTAAATTTGCATGTCCAAAATTTTACTTTTGCAAGTGCATATGAATACATTGTGGTGTTGCACAAAGTTCATTAATGACAAATTAAGTCACAGTATAAAAATATATCATACAACTATAGGTCTAGTATAGTCCTCTTTTTCTATGGGTAAAAATACATCTGAATGAGACAGGGAGGTTTGTAGCACCATGAGAGGAGTTGTATCCCAAGTTACATTAGCAGCATGATCCAATATAACAATATTGCAGGAGTGTTTCTGAGGAGATAAACATTCACTCTGGTTCAACTGTACCACTGAAGCTTATACTGAAAAGTGTTTACATATGATTAGCAATAGTTCTGTGTCACTTCCAGGGCTAGATAACTGTTATCAAAAGACACTGCCTTCCAACAAAAGTAAGACACCCTTATTGCATAAAAGCTTTGGGACTACCCAAACACATTTTGAACTACTGTGGCGTTATTTGTAAGTTGAGCATGATGCTAAGTAAGCTGTGGTTTTAACTGTACACTGGGAGGATGCAGGATGGGCAGCTAAGCCTATATGGTTTACTACATACCAGAGAAGTACATATATTTCAGAGGCTTATCTATAGACTGAGAAGAATACAGGAGAAGCTGCTAAACCAGTGTATGAGACAGACATAACGAAGGATGCAATCCTGCTGCCCTCAACGTTTATGGATGCAGGATCAGGCCCTAAGTTAACTTCAGACAGCAGCATAGCAATGATAGGACACAATAAAAAAAATCTGTATCAAATACTGCATGCTAAACATTTTTGACATAGTTTACCATCCAGAACTCCAGAGGACACAGTTTGCAAACGGAGAGGACAAACTCCTATTTGTTTTTGACTGGTATTCAAAATGGCGGTAGAAGACAGTGTAGTTTGAAACATGTAAACCTAGTAAAAACCATTGTAAAACCCTTAAGAAAGACACACTGGTTCTGTGCAATATAGCAAATTGATAAGAAAACACTGTAAAAATGTACCTGTTTAAAATTACAATGTCTACCATTTTGTACACAAAGCATTATACCAAAGGCCTACATATATGTAATCTAATGGCACTTGAAACAAATTATAATAAAAGGTTTTATAATAAAAAGCATAACCTGTAAGAAATTTTCTTAAAAGGTTTAGGTTTTCTTTTTGAAAGTGCTATATCTTGTAATATGTGTAACATAGAGGTTGACCAAGCTTTATTTTAAAAAATATTGGCCTATAATACAAGTTTAGCTCACTAGGCAAATGATCCTGAAAATATGTACTCTTAACATTCATTATTAGCTTAATAAAGCAATCAGCTCTGGCTCATGTTTCAGTCAGTATATGGTTTTTAAAAACCGCTACTGCCAAATTAACAATAAATCACTCTATTCCACAATTTACTACTAAATAAAGCACAAGCAACAAGTACACAAAAATATATATATTTAAAAAAAAAAAAAAACAAACAACAAAACAAAAAAAAACAAACCAAAACAACCTCACTAGAAGTTTAGAAGTTGCACAAAGAGTGGTGCATGATCAGCCAGCCCTCCCCCCTCCCGCCAAGAATTTATCTGAAATAAAAAAAAAAAAGGGTTTTAAAAACTGATGGTTTAGTAGTGGCCAATATTGACTCTGCCTAAGTGATGCTCAAAAGCACTCCGGTGGTGGTGGTATTGCTTTCAGGGTCAGTCTGCTTCCACATTACCCTACATCCTAGTTCAGCTGCAAACACGCCGGGTGCACCCACCCATTGAAACCCTGACTGAATGAGGTTCAATATCTTGTCTGAGGTCCCTATTTCTCAAGTGAAATGTACATCTAACTCCAAAGTGAAATGTCAATCCCTTTTCAGGAAGCTAAGGCACAAACGAAGTAGTAGTAAGGGCTCTGGCTACACACTAAGAAGCGGGTGTTGGCAAAGTGTCTGTTGGGTTTGGTTTTCAAGTCTTTCGGCAACTGAGACTGATAAACAGTGGCTACGGTGGCTACGGATTGGGATTGGAAATTTGTGAGCCAGAGGCTACCCAGGATGGGCAGTGCTGCCTGGTCTCACTGCTGGGCCAGCTGCAGGATGGCAAGCTCTCGCAGCTTTCCTCTGCTGCAGGGAGAGTCACAGATGCTCGGCTCCACGCGGGACATAACCCACTGGAGGAGACAAGTTCATTTATCTTCATCTCAGATTGATTAAAAGGATTGAGAATAAACCCAAGTTTTGTCTAGATGTATTATGGTTGCTCATTTAAACTAAAGTTACATTCGGTTGCATTCACTTTGTGCTCTGTTCATCTGTGTTTTTCTTTCCTTTAGAAAGGTGAAGGGAAAAAAAGCAATATTGAACAAATCATTCAACTGAAGATGTAAGTAAGTGAGCAATCCGTTTCACAGAAACCAGAGGAAGCAGTTGTGAAGCAGAGCTAAAAGCCTACTTTGAGATAACATGCTCCTAACCCCAAAATCTAGGAGTAGTTTGCAGAATTTCAAAAGGTATTTTCCTTATTAATACATCCTTATTTTAATGCCTTTGGAACACAAACACATTTATAAAAATGTTATCTTTCAGTAATAAAATTTAAATACACATATGTATAAAATAGTAAAACTACACCTGCATATTGCTCCTAGAATTAAAAAAAAAACAGTAGGAGCTACTGATAAAACATCCGGAGCATGAGCTCCTTAAATGGGAGCAACTTTTGTTTCTGTGAAGTATATTTAGTTTAACCACTTAAAACCTTGTACGAATACGCGTTATTGTTTGAGAGATACTAATATACTTGATTTCTATTTTTTAATTCCTTGTACAAAAATGACAAGGAAAATAATGTTATTGTTGAATTACAGCAAATCTAGTTTGCTCTTATGCAACACAGGGTTGGTTGTTTTTTTTTAGGGTTTTTTTTTTTTTCCTCTTTTGGTTACTAGGGGTTGGGGAATAGAATATATTGCATTAGGTAAAAGTGGTGTAAGCAATATGCTTTTACTTCACTCCTAAGAGTCCTGTCTTTAAATCTTGGCAACGGGCAAAAAGTCCCTAACCAAGTACCCAGGTGTAGAAAGTGTGATTAACATCTAACTTGTTGCTTAGGAGGACATAACACACCATGTAACACAACTGAAAAGATCATTCCAATAAAAAAAAAAAAAAAAAAAAAAAAAAAAAAAAAAAAAAAAAAAAAAGAAACCAAAACAAAAAAAAACCTGGTAGTTGCAAATTTACATTCACTCTCTGACTGCACACTAGTTTTGAACTGAAAATAGATACACACTTTCTGGCTGGACTTGATCCACCCTTTGGTGGTGGCAGCTGGGAGAAGACTGATGCCTACAAATGTGAATACACTACTGGAAGATTCCTATGCAGTACTCTTTCTATGCTACTAAAGAGAAAAAAACAGCAAGTTAAGAAGTAAAACAAAAACTGCGACAAAATATTCTGCATTACTACATTACAACACTTTTATATTTCAAGATCAGCCATTAATTTTGCCTGTTTCCCTATACCAGAGTCACGAAAGCATAACAACACAGTTCCAAATTCAACTTGAAACATTTGTCAAACATTAGGCAAGCAGAGATTCTCTGTTGAAATTCTGTTCAGCCATAATTTTAGAGAATTAAAGTAAATTATTTTTTTTTCTGTTATCCATAACAGGCCACAAAAATTTAAGCCACAAAATGGCAAAATTCTTAACAACTTTTATAATGACTTCAATACAAGTCAAAATGCTGTATATATGTACATGTGTATATATGGACTTCTATATATACACACACAAGTTTTCAGAAAAATCTGAATTCTATATTTAATTAAAAAATTTAGATTTGTCATTACAGAAGGGGTCAGATGTGTCAACATTTGGGAAGAGGATTTGTTTGGAAATGGACTGGAGATTTTTTTTCACAAATCTTCAGGAATATTTGTGATACATATTTTAACTGGATTATTTGCAAATAGTAAAATATATTAAAAGTTAAAAGTGGCGGTTCTACCACTGACATCAACAAAACAGAATAGCTGGTATGCTTAAAAAACTTTTTAAAAAAGGGATGAGTGTTGAGAGTTTGCTTGGGATGACCTTCTACTGAACATTTTAAATGTGTAAATTGGCAGTGAATATGAAAACAATACAATGAGACTGTTTAAAAACAAAACAAAACAAAACAAAAACCAAAGTAAACACAGCTGAGAATAAACACTTTCAAAACATTTTAAAAAAGTTAATTTAAATTTCTTACTGGCTTCATGAGATTGGTACTGTACAAAAGCAGAGAATTTATAATGTCTTATAGTAGGCACTAAGTTAAAAATGGTCACCTAAGGCATTTCTACAAATAGACAGTAACAAGCCAGCTTTGTACATACTATTGGAAAGCTTGATGAAATCGTGGTAGGGTGGTGGTTGTGCTTAGACTGCTTGTGAAAGCTGCTGACAATGAGTGCAGAGACCCAAGACCTATACTATTGCTAGGATCTTGTGGATCCTGGGTTTGTGGTGGAAGTTGAGTCATAGAAGAATGTGCCTCTTCTTGCGTATAACTCATTCCGAGGTTTCCCACTGAAACAGAAGGATTATAGGGAGGGCCATTTACAGGTATGAAGTTGAACAGCTGAGAAAAGTCCAATGATGGGGCGTTTAGAGGTTCACTAATAGGAACAGAGCCCTTGGAAAGGGAAACTTCCCCAGACCCATCATCTAGTGGCCCTACTTGTGGATCCAGCCCTAGTTTTGATGAAGATGCTTGAGAATCCTGGGATGAAGAAGGCATACCACTTTGCAACTCCATTAAGTAACTTTCAATTTCCCCTTTCAATGGCTGTTCTTTTTCAGGCATAGAAATTGCGTATGAGGTAGTACCGAGCGGATATTTCAATGATAGCTGGTGAGAAGGGTGGACAGACTCCATATCTATTGGACAAGGCATTCCCAATGGTAACGATGTGGCAACCATTTGGTGTGCAGATGCAGAACTCTGCATGGACTGAATCTGAGTGTTGTAGAGATTTAATTGCAAAGTGTTTGTAAATGGCTTTGATGTCAGTTCACTGGAAGGTAAAGACATCACTGGAAGCAGCTCATCCTTAATAGGCACAGAAACATTGCAGGTAAAGGGATCTAGAAGGTCCATTGGCTCTGTTTTGACCTTCAAAAGTTCCTGGTTGTGACTTTTCTTCATGTGGCGCGTGAGGTGATCCTTCCGCCCAAATCTCTGTGCACAGTACTGACAGAGGAAGTCCTTTCTTCCAGTGTGCACTACCATGTGTCTGCGGACATCCTTTCGGGTGTAGAACCGACGATCACAGTGTTCACACTGGTGTTTTTTCTCCTTCACTCCACCCGATGACTTGCCTGCGTGAGTTTTTAGGTGCTCCAGCAGCACTCCTGTGCTTTCAAAAGTCTGCAAACATACCTTACAGGTGAGGTCACCACTTGTTGCAGCATGCAAAGCCAGGTGACGTTTGAACCCAAGCTTGGTATTGTAGTTCTTTCCACATTCTTCACACTTAAAGGCCTCTTTGTTGGGATTGTGTGTATGTAGGTGATTCTTTAGGTGATCTTTTCGGTGAAACATTTTCTCACAATAATTACACTTGTGGGTTTTCTCAGGAGAATGAGTAGCCATATGCCTTTAAACACAGATATATTCTGTAAGTAATTATTTTGATCAAAAAACACATGTGCTCATTTTTTAATGGCAGCTAAATACTACACTAAGGACTGCTTTGCAACAGAACCTTTTAACTGAAAGCATGACACTACAAAGACATTTTGACAAATTTAAATATAGCAAAACGCGAGCCATTTCTCTTAAATTGACACTTTAGTTTTGGTGGGTTTTAGCTACTGTAACAGGGGTATATGGGTAAGTATGAAAGTACTTGTGTAAAAGTCCATAGCCAAAGAACTTTCAGTCCATACTCTTTTTCTTGTGACAATTCCTTATACAAAGGGAAATTCTACGCTCATTAAAAACAAAACAAAACAAAACAAAAACAAACAGAAAACAAAAGCAGAAAACAAATTAAGAAACAAAATCAAAGACATTAGCTTGCAAACTTAGGTAATTTAGAATTCTAGAAACAATCCAATGGCTACTTTAATTAACACATCCTCTCTGCAATCAGCTGAAGGCGTACAGAAATATATACTTTTACACGGCCAACATAAAATAGATAATATAATCTGAAAGATAAATAGAGTTTAATACCTTAGTAATTTGTACTTAGAAACAAAGGCCTTGGTGCAGTCTTGTTGTGTGCACTTGTAGGGCCTCTCTCCTGTGTGAGAGTATGAGTGAACCTTTAATTTCTCAACACTGTTAAAGGCCTTGTCACACAGTTGGCAAGGAAAGTTTTTTCTTGGTTTGGTTTCACCACGCTTACGTTTCCCTGAAGGGACTTTCTGGGTATCTCTTACTTCTGACAAATCACCAGGAATGACAGTGGCCATCGCAGCCTAAACCAGGCCTTCTTGTTGGACACTTGGGAATTGCCCAACTCCACTAAATGATTTAGCTTTAGATGGCTTCTCAAGTTTCATGTGGTCGTAAAAGAAAGCAAAAGGGGACTGGAAAAAAAAAATAAGAAACAACTAGTTTGTAACTAAACTTAGATTTTGAAGTTTACTTGCTATGTGATGCTTCTGAATAAAACTTAAAAATAAAACTAGGTTCAGCTGGTCTAATGTAATACCTGCAGGTTTCTTTATACTATTTGCTGCAACTCTTAAAATGCATTGCTCAGGATGAACAGATCCACATATGCCCTGAAATCACACCTCACAACCTCTCCCTTTAAACACTGCTGGAGAACAGCAAAGTTTCTGTCAGATTAAGAGAGGCATCAGGCAAAGAGCCTACCTACCCAGGCACCTTTTGGTTGCTTCGGATTTCAAAGGAATTACAGCCGCGCCTGTGGTGTTTGTACAGACATCCGCACGCAGGCACGCACACACGCACGCAGCTATCACAGTGAAAGTCTGTAAGCCTCAAAATGTTTGAAAACCTGCACAAAACACGGCAGTACCCATGCTGACAGTAGGGGGGACAAAGCTTGTGTTCTCCCTCAGGCATACCACCCCCCACCCCCTCCCCCTGATCACTGACATCTCTGCACCCACTCTAGCAAAATGCACGCGTTGCCACTGATGGCTAATGCCAGGTGAAATTCTCCTGTAAACCTGTCCTCTGCAAACAGACTTGATGCACTGGCAACAGAAATCCCATGGATTAGAGACAGATTATCAGCCCAGCGCTGGAGACCCCCACCCTCCTCATGCTATCCTGTAAGACATGAGGGCTCTAAGTGTTCTGACTCAGGCCAGATCAGGATGGAGGCTCCTAGTCCTGCCCCTGTGGCATGGCAAACTGTGAACTAAATCAGAGGTTTTCAGTGTCAGGAGGTGTGTGATATGACCTTCGTGTCTGACTTCTGGGTAAACAGCTTTGAACTAGTCATCTGGTATCATATAGTGGCAACTGGGCACCTGCCATCACAGGGCACTCAACAGCCCTCCTTTGTCAGGAGTGGCTGACAGCTTTTCCTCATCATCGGAGCACAACTGCTACTACAGATACCAAAAACCCAGTGCTACCAGCTGTGGTGAGGGTGCAGCGTGAGGTCTGCAGCAGCAGGGTCAAGGAGGACAGCAGGAGGACAGCACTCAATGCAAGCATTTGGCAGGGTTGGAAAGCCCCAAAATTTGGCCTTTCTCCCTCAAAAGCATCGCGGCCCACCCCCTGGCCCCAGTGTCAGGGCTGGCAGCTGCTGTCCACTCTGGTCTCTGCTGGGGCAGCTGCGCGAGAAGCGGCCGGGCCAGGCGGCACCAGGGCCAGGCCGCGGCCGGGCTGGGGCTCGGCAACCAGGCACCGGCACAGCCCCCAGCGCAGGGCTGGGGAGCCGCAGCTGCCGGGACAGGTGGAGCTGGGCAGCTGGGCAGGCACCATCAGGCTGCAGCTGCTCCAGCCCAGCACCACCTCCCCGAGAAACAAACCGGGCTCTTCCCTGCTGGCAGCGAGGGAGGATGGATAGCTGGGAGGGAGCCCGGGCCTGGCTTAGCTGTCCTCTCTCCACTGCTGAGGCTCAGCAGAGATGGAGGGAGTCAACTGCTCAAGACGGGAGTGGAGAGCAGCGCCCAGGTGCACGGGTGGCAAAACCACACGGTTGTTGCAAGAGCCCCAGCGTGGTCCTGGAAGAAAGCAAGAAGGAAGGAGAGCCTGTGTTTCCCTCAATGCATGGCAGGACAGGAAGGCTGAAGGAGCACGGAGATGGAGAAGGGGATGTGCCTCTTTAATGTCTGCATTTTATGAAATCTTCAGACTGAGATCTCCACTGGAAATGTGTACACAGACTATGTCTTTATCTATGCCTTTTCCTCCCTCCTCCCTGTAACTTTTTCCTTGTCTTTAGAAAAGGAGAGAAGTACTGGCACACCAAGATGAAAATCTGCTTCCTTTCAACCCTGAAGTCCTTGAATGACAGGTTAAACTATGCTACCTTCTTTAAGCAAGCAGTTTTGTAAGACCACCTTTAATCCCTCAAGTTTTGTAAGGAAACACTAACCTCATTAAAGACACCCAGTGACAGAAAAGGTGTTTCTTTAGGGACTCTTATGATTTCAGACTTGTCTCGGACTCATTCACACTCATGAGATGAAGTCTGGAGACATCAGTTCCACGAGTGGGAACATACACAGGTCTTCAAAGTATCAGCTTAATTTTATTTTCTGTCTCATAATCTACTATCTAGTTCATAAGTGAAAAAGTGAAACAGTTGTTTGGAGACTTGGGAGCAACAGTTTTCTTCAATAAAAGTAAATGAAGACCAGTTTCAAAAGACTTCAATAAAGCCACCAATGTAATAAAAAGAAGGGTCTGATTCACATCAAAGTTGTGATATATTTGTGGATTGAAAGATACTTTTATTTTTCAATATAAGCTTTAATTAGAGTCTGGTAATAAAATTAATTTTGCTTTTCTGTTAACAAACAGACTGGTCTTCAACACATATTGGCCTGAATGTAGAATGAAATTTTGGTTTAGCCTCATCTCTCCTGGCAAATTAAATTTAGAGGGGAGAAAAACATTCAACTCGATCTACACTCACACAGGCTTTTTTTATACCACACAGGCACCTGTATGAGACCCACCACACAGAGCCAGCACAGCAGCCACTCCCTCACTGCGTGGCTAGGGCACTTACAGCCTCAACAGGGTTAAGAAGGCACTCCAGCCCCTTTTTCCTCCCTGCCAAATCCACACCGAGCCTGAGACAGGGCAGTCGGCATTTGCGTCAAAGGGCAAGGCAACTGCCTCCACCGGCTTCTGCAGGTGAGTGTGGCTACTTTGACCATGCTGGGTCCAAAACTCAACAGCAAATGGACTCTGCGCCCAACCAGTGACAAGGAAAGCAGGCACAGCAGGCAAGATACAGGCAGGGAGGGACGGTGCTCAGAACCAGGATGGGGCTGTGGGGCTGGGGAGGCACAAGGAGTCCTGCTTAGGGGTTGGGAATATCTACAGACATGTGGGTAGGGGTGAGCTGGTAACACTGAGGGCTGGGGAGGAGGAATTTACCGTGCATCAAGCTGAGGAGATGCAGGATATTAGGCCATGCAGAAGGGTGATCCGCAGGGTCTGTTGTGAGGTCAAGAACAGTGTTTGTTGTGGAACAGCATATTAAGCTTAACTGTTAAAATTAAAAACTGACAACTTCTCACTTCCTCTCTCAATGCAAAGATCACACCTCAGGCTGGAGGCCATCCTATATTCAGGCCAATATAATATTACTGTTTTCTTCTCCAAAACTTCAAGTAACTTAGATGCTGTACCAGAAGTAAGTCAGAACGTTCACAGGGATGAAGAATTTGGGTTTTGTTCCTCTATGATCAAAACTAATTAAGCTGACTTTGAACTGTGTTTAAATGTCCTTAAAAATGTATCATTAGAACAAATATAGTGTGGATCCAATCTTTGACAATGACAGTGTTTTATTAAAAGCCACGTACGCACTATTATCTCAGTACCATTTCTCAACAGTTGAAGCAATTCAGTATTGATCTCTGAATAGCAAATAACCTTTTTTTTTTTTTTGGTGTGGATATACAGACTGAGCAATGGAGATAAAACTAAAAAACACTGATCCTCAAATATTAAATTTTTCAAAGACCAGCTGAAAGAATTTTATGAGTAATATTGCCTGTTTGTGCCTCAACATATTATCACTTAAAATTCCCATTCTTACTGGTGCTTTCACAACTGCAGGATGAATGATTATATGCAGTATCAAATAACAAACACATTACACAAAAGCTCATATATAATACTATTTTTAAAGAAGCATATACTTAAAGCAGGATTAAAACAGCCTCTGTTCAATGCACACCTGATGTTTGCCCACTAAAGTCCTCAGATTTTGCTCTTAACCAGTTCCGCTGACTCTTCTTGGAGGAAACCAGAATCCAGTACTTCCCATTTTTACTGGTCTGAAAAACAAAAGGAAGAATGGACTAGACTCCAGCGGAACCAGTATGTTCATAAAGGCTGGGATGTGGCAAGACCAGGAATTGGAAAGAATCAGAAAGGAAAAGTTAAAAGGGATAGATCCAACCCATGCAGAGAACATTATATACTGTTAATTATAAACTCTAGGAATCATTCTTGCATTATCAGTAGCAATTATGCACTTCAATTTGCAATATACTTACATAATTTCAACTAACGCTATGCTGGACAGTGACACATAAAGAGATAAAATTAGACAAAAGCAAAGGAGTTTTCATGAAGTTAAAACAAAACAAAAAATAATCCACAGACCACAAATAATTTAGAAGTAACAGCAAAAACCATAAAATGCTGGGCCCAGACTTGAGTTTCTTACTCAGAAAGGACCGAGTAAGAGAAGATTCTGGATTAGGCCCAACTTTACTAGAACCTAATGCCTTCATTCTGCTTAATTATACAGGAAATAGCAGCTTAAAAGGTGACCTGCAAAGGAAAATAAAATTAATTTAAAAAATAACAATAAAACCTCTTAATGAAGTACATGGTAGCAGTAAATCCCAATAGAGGGCAAGTCTAGGTATGCCTGAGCAAACCAAGAGGGCCTTTCTGGAATTTCCCTTACATCTCCCTTTTCGCTGCCACCATAATTTTGTAAATTTGCAGCAGGTCTTCCTTTTTTTGCTAGAAGGCCTACTGAATGACACAGGTACATGCATAAAACATGTTCAGTGCCTCATTGTAATGGGGAGGTTTATCCTGTCCAGCTCTTCCAGATACATAAGGGCAAAGCCTTATACAGTGCCCACACCCCATGTGGCATAGCAGGCTGAAGTTATTTGGCAGAAGCCCCAGAGCAAATGTAACATTTCCCCACAGACAAACCATTTTCCCTTCTTGCTTCCCATTCATTCCAGAAAGTGTTCCTCCTTTTGATACCAAGTTCAGCTTTGCACAGCCTTCTCTGTTGGTTAAGGATGAACATGAGCAAATAGGTGTCCTTGAACACCTCTTAATGTCAAAAGTGCTTCAGAGCAACCAACTGAAGCTCTCTGACAGCCGAGAAGCATTTATTGGGGGCTTTGCACATACAGGTAAGAGGCAGAAACAGCTCCAGTACCCAAAGAGTAAGTGAAAGTTCTGTTTTCAACTAATAAGCACAACCTTCACTTCTTTCGGGAGTCCCCAGATCACCTTGTTTAAGGGAGAAAATGCTGACCCCCTTTCCCAGCAAGATCCTTATAAATCAGTTACCCTGCAATGCCTCTCAAGATCTACTATTGCAGCATAAAGGAAGAGCTTCATTCCCCAGATGTTTCTGCTAATGTAGTTCACAATAAGGAGACAATATTTAAGAAAGCCACATAAATGTAATGGACTAAGTTCTCATGGGGAACATAATAGAAATACACTATTTGTATTTACAGACTATTTTCTGTTCAGGGAAAAAAAAAACCCACAAACAACAAAAACCCCCCCAAAATCCTACCTAAAGTATTATAAAGCCCTCTCAACAGCATTTAGCATTTTCTCTTAAATGTTTATAGTCCTCAATGCTCACCACACATCTCAAGTTGCTCTAGCAAAAAGCACAGGCTCTCAGAAACAGGCCAGTAGAGGCATGGAAAGACTACTGAATCAGGGGAAACCCAGGGAAAACAAGTAAATAGGCGAGATAAACACCAGATGTAGCAAAAATGCTGAAAAGAACGAAGGAGGACAGTCAGGTACTCTTGTTTATTACCTTACAAATACAGCAAAATCACAATGCAGTGAATCCAGATGAGAGTAGTGCTAAAGCTACGTTAGCTGGGATCTCAACTTCTACAAGATCATTATTAGTTAAAGAGCTTAACAACATACACATAAAAGGGGATAAGTTTGTATGAATAATAAACACATTTACTACATTTGAAAGGATTAAGTGAAAAGATAAAATGAAATAATTCCTATGCTTTGCAACAATAAATACGCTATTGGAGAAAAGACTTTTCCTTATGCAGAGAATAAAAAAGCTGTCCATGATAATGCTCATTTTCAGACCACCTTTCTCAGGAGCTTTTGGTGTCAGAAAATCTCTGAGGCAGAATACTGGACAAAGATGTACGATTCTCCTTGTAACTGCTTATAGTCATATTGTCCTAAGCTGCTTCTCAATTATATGAGGTAGGAAGAATTTTTAATGAATAACAAAACTCAGATTATTCCTCACACGAAGCAGAGAAGCATCACCCTGCAAAATGCACTGTCACATGCACATGCCCAAAGCCCACTTAGGTACTAATAACAAAATATGACTTCTATAATATGTCAGAATTCTTAGAATTTACCAGAACTTCCAGCATCTGCGTGGCACTAATTTTGCTAACTTTCCAAACACCCAGATAATTCCAGGTTAGATAATACTTGAATTTCTACCATATAAGGAGTAAAAACAAAAAGCCCCAAAACTCTAATAAAGAAGATAGAGAATATAAACTATAAATATAAAATTTATTATTTTTTATATTAAAAAAGAGTAACCTTTTTTCAAAATTCACAGATCGTATTTGAAAATCTGAGAAAAAAGCTGCACTTGAAAATATTTTAAAACATTTGATATCTCAGCTAAAAGGATAATGAAGACATTACACAAATATAACCAATAAGACTCCTCCTAACTTGCATATCATACATAAGAGTGTTCAAGCACAGTAAAGGAAAGCAAGTTTCATGGTTATCTTCTTTCAAAATAAAAGAGCAATAATGAGAACACAGTACTGAGAACACAGTATCTGTCATTTTGCCTTTTATATTAAACAGTAAATCTAGTTTCAATTCCTGAAATCAGTTTCAAACCAGAGGAAGGATCCTAGCAACATCTGAGTCACAATAATGATGGAATGCAATAAGGATTTAATAGTATGACAGAGTCATCCCAGGGTTTAAATATTTCTTTAAGGAAACAAAATGAAAAGCAGTTACTTACCCTGCGGAAACTGCGATTCTTTAAGAAGTGCTGTCCACACAGATCCCAGGTGAGCACATACTCACATGGACAGGATCAAGTCCTCTGAAGACATTATGTCCATCCAGGCAGTGGTGAAAGGCTAAGGACTCCCCACCAGTGCCACGCACACCATCGCACCCCCTCACGCGCTCTGCAGCAGTGGCAGCTCCCACTCTGCTCTTCACTCACACCACGGGGCAAAAGCCAATCACACACACCACTGCTATCCCTGTGCTGCCTTGGGAAGTGGCAACCTCCCTCTTCCATGGCTGCTGTAGTCCTGCTGCTCCCAAACCTGTGCTCCCATCTCAGGGGGTCAGGTGTCGATGGGAATTGAGCTGGCAAGGTTTGCTACGGCTGATGAAAGGAAGGAGGTTCATAGGAGAGAAATACGTGGGCAAAAGTTGATATCCTAGTTGGAAGTGTGGTGAGAGGTTTGGAAAGCTGAAACACAGACTGGCATTCTGGTTTAGGAAGAAGGATGAATAAATGCAGCCCAAGGCAGCAAGGAGCTGCTGCTGCTCAGGGTGGTAATGGAGCAAACTAAGCTCAGGATGCTCCAGTCTAACCTCTCTCAGGCTCATCAACAGTGAAGACTCATTCAGAGTGAAGGACAATAGATAACTTGTGGTGCCTCTACTGCAAATGTACCTGGAAGAGTCACTGTTACTGTAGCACAAGTAATGATTTTTCCTTTTTTGTATGAGGTGACTAATAGTCTGACTAGCAGTCACATGACTATAAAAAATACAGACAGATGACACCTGCTCTGTCTGAGCAGTCAGGGATAGCTGGGGGAGCTGAGCTGGTGAAAGAATCAGCAAGAGACAGCTGATGTAGCCACTTACTGTGGCTCAGAAGAGCTAAAGTGACAGACAGCACCTCCATTTACAGAGTGGCAGACACTGGAACACACTGCCCAGAGGATGCCCCATCCCAGAGGATGCCTCATCCCTGGAAGTGTTCAAGACCAAGCTGGATGGGGCTTTGAGCAACCGGTAGTGCACGGTGTCCCTGCCTGTGGTATGAAGATTGGAACTAGATGATCTTCAAATGTCCCTTCCAACCCAAACTGATCTACGATTCCAACTACAAATCTCATCATGTCTGCCCCCTCAGCTGGGGCTGTTAAAAGGTGCAAATGTTGCCAGAGCTCCTGAAGATATAGGAATCTAAACCCACGCTTCAGGCAACTGAAGAAGGAACACCATTTAGCCTCCTCTGCCCTTCCTTGTGCTGCGGACTTAAACACAAGACTCTCACTAGGCAGTTCCATTTGTGAAGGTGCAGATTTAATCCTGCTTCCTTCAGACACCTCTGCTGATAGAGCTGTTGGAAGGGGTTGAGGGCATAAGTGGCAAAGTGCCTGCACTGCTCCAGGACAGCATGCTGGGACCTGCAGCCCTGCAAGGCTCAGACACCCTCCCTGGATCAACAAGGATCAACGTGCCTATTGCACACTTGTACAGACCTCAGAGAGAGAGCAGTAGGTCTGACTGGCTCTGTAGAAAAATACTGGGCTTTTTGCAGCAGAAGCTTCACCTGAGAGTAGCTGCAATTAGCAGAAGATCTAGCTGTCAACCTCTGACTTTCAGAGGTCCCTCTTACAGAGAATTAACTTTCAGTAAGGGAAGATCTCAAATGGAGAAGCTGATCCTGTCAATGGAAACAGTCAAACAGGTAAGAAAAATTCATGCTTAATTGGCAAAGATGTTGAAGTATTGATGACTTCAGGGGTGCCTTTCTCCATGTAGAATTAAAATCAATCTTCTGGCTGATGCAGGGGTCTACATCGCTGTTTTTGCATGGCAGGCCATTTGATCTGCATCTATTTGAACAGCACGTCACTCTTTAAAGGAGGGAGCCAGCGAAACCTTTGTCCATGTTTAGAAGAAGAATCTTTGGCAGGAAGGGGCTGATCTTCCCCCCCTTGTTCTTGTCTGGATGGGCCTGGAGAGAGAAGAGGGCAACAAAGGAAGGTGTCCCTCTGTGGCC